GAACAAGATTCGAATCCATTGAAGTGGTGAGAGAAACGGCCCGCATCCTGAAGGAGTTGATAGAAGATGACTTTTAGCACTGTTTCGAACAATGGAAGATTCGAGTGGGTCGTTGTAGGGATAGAGGAGGAGTTTATATTGTATGTGGTAATTAGTAAATATGTATATTGCATGAAATAAATTGCTTTACTGCGTCAATCTCGTTATTTAATAGCCACACCTCGTAATGTAGAGGAAAAACTAAAGTTGAAATATGTCCCGTCCCATAAATTTTATCTAATTCTTTTACAAGAGTAGGATTTTAAAAAGGATTCGAAGTTAGGGAGAATCTGATTTCGGTCAGGAAGTCGAGTCTTCCCTGAGAGTACTACTATTGACTAGGACCCGATTATTATGCTGCAATAGTTAAGTAAATACTAATAGTGCTAATCTTTAGATTTGAGACAGGTAAAATAGTTTATATTTTAAATGTTAAGAATTCATAGCTCCGCATAAAATAACTTGGTTGTATCCACTATCTGACTTCCTATTCGTAGTTTACTATGAGGTTTCAGGATCCTTAAACTTAAAAAAAATAGAAAACTCAATATATTAGAACCCCATCCGTTTTCAACATTTTCGTGCTAAACTTGTAACCCTCTTACCAAACCTTCCAGAGATATTGAGAATAAAAACTGAATAACGCTTAACGATATACTCTTTGTTATTTTTCAACTTTGACTATTTTTCTCATAACTAAAATATGTTCCCATAAACTCGTAATTCTAATAAACTGTTAAACATATTAGTTAGAAAATTCACACACGTATTCAAAATAAGTTTTTTTTATGACATAATTATATACCAATTTTTAGGCAATCGATTCATAATAAGTTTTAAATGTAATTTTTTATAAAATTTCTTGTAATTTTCTTAACAATTGTATAAAAAAAATTCTTTTTACCAAAATTGATTTTAAAAGTATGCATTATTTCGACATTTATCATTTTCCTACAAGATAACATTACTTTTATTAATTTTCATGAATGTTATATTTCTTCAGTAATATATATATATATATATATATATATATATATATATATATATTACTGCTATCATGAAAATGAAATTCCAAAGAAAATTTACAATAACATATTATTTGAACCGAATTACATGGAGAATAATATGTTAAATATTCATTTCGACTAAGTCAAAATATTGTACATTAACTTTTTATAGCAAATTGTAACTCTTCTGTTAGTGTTAAAAATTTTAATATTTATAAGATAATATTATCAATGATATTCACTCTTTCGAGAGTATTTCACAATTTATATAATAAATAGGTTCCTAACTTTTGGTTTTGGCGTTAGAATATTAATCAAATTAGTAATGAGTATGAATAATTTCAACAGACAATAATATTTATTACAAATAATATCAATTTGTGTCTATTCAAGTTATCCTCTAACAGAATTCTCAACTTTGTTACTCGAGCTAGTTTATCAATGATGATAAATAATAAACGAATAAAAATATGAGTTTGAATCAAAATTCCTTGGTTTTGATAACTTACGGCAAGGCATTACCATGTCCATTGTTGGATTAATTGGTTTTATAGTATGCAGAACAACAATGGCTGTTATTCTCTACCATGGCAAGTTAGTAACTAAGCTAGTCGGTATTCTATGGTATGCTGCCATATATTAAATTTGCAACAAAACAAATTTGACACGAGTTCATTGGTTAGTTTTGATTTGTCAGGAATTAGCAGTCAAATCAAAATTTGATTGCTGCCGCGTCGAGTTGTCACCATCGATGAGACGGGGATTCATCACTTTTTACTGATAACTAAATCAAAATCAAAACAATGGGAATGTTTTTGGTGAATGTACTTTGAAGAAGGAGGCCGAAAGATTTAAAACTTTATTGCAATGAGAAAGAACTTTGAAAAGGGGGAAATAATAAATGTACAATTTGACAGCAAGTTATCTCCATTCTCATTTCCCATTAATAACATATGTACTTTTTGAACATCCTGATATACAAGGTACAGAACTATTGTAATTATAAACTGCATACATTATGATAAGTGTTACAATCGAAACCATGTTTATATTTTACTCGTTAATTCGAAGAAACAACACGCAGTAAAAATATTTTTTTTTCCTTTCCTTCTAGTCGAGATGTATTTTCACGATCGAAACATAATGACAATTTAAACATTTTCTTTATAAATGAATAAGGATGAAAATATGCTAACATCTCTTAATGACCATTAAAATAACATAAAAAGTAAGGAAAAGATCGTTAAGCTCGCCTGTCACGCTCTTGCTCTTCTACATTATATATATAAGCTATTACGATAATTGAAATTTACGTTTCATTAACTTATTTACACACATTTACTAGGTGTATCAATGTAAATATACCTCACATTAGTTGGTATGCAGGGGGAAGTACTAGGGGAAGTGCCAGTTCAGGTGCTGTCCTTGTCACTTGACCGAGTTTCAATTTACTAGGCCCGTCACCCAAAGCCCCCGTGTTCTCAGTGCGACGTTTAGAAACAGCCAAGTTGGCTGGAGAAATTCCCCAAACAAATGTTTTGAATTTCTTGCATGACACTGGTTTCGCTCTATTCATTTAATTTTATTAAAATTCAATTTTCTTTATACATCTTTTGTATTTTAAATTATTTTACCTACAAAAATAATAAAATTTTTACTTTGAGTTAGGCACAATAGAAACTATGAAGTCACAGTGCAGTTAAATTCTTAACAATTAACCAATATTTCTATTAATAGCTGACAAGGCAAGATATAAGTTAACGAAATCCGATCCCTAAGTATTCCAGACAGCAATACCAATTTGGATCTACCAAAAATCGAATGGCCTTAGGTCGGGAACACCCTCCTTCTCCATTCTTTGCTGAGCTATTCCTTCACTACACAAACTTAATGCTTTAGAGTAGTTATAGATTGTAGTTTGAGGACGTCATTTCTATCGGATTTCTCACTTTCCTTTACCGTGATTTGTCATTAGTTAAATACGATCGCAGTATTAACCTTTGTCTTGACTAGTTAGCCTGACGTATGTTATAAAAGTTGAAAATGAATGTCTGAGTTAAAAGTCAGTTAAACATAAATGAGTTATTTTATGCTAAAATGTTTGAGATTTTTCTACCAATTTCAGTATAAGATATTTATAAAATAATTTACGTATTTTTTATCCCTGCTTATTCTGTTCAGTATTTCTTGGTAGTTGTTTAAATGAGTTCTGAGAATTTTTAATTTTTAAAATATAGGTTTTTATGTTGAAGTTTAATTGTATTGAATACATTTTTGCAAATACATTATTTTTAAATTTATGATGCACAGTTTGAAACTACCTAAAAAGTCCATGGTATAAGTTTTGGATTTTATTTATTCCTTTATTTGTAACATAAAAATTCTATCAGCTTTAGAAGATTTTCAATGACAATTTTTCTCAGAAAATAATACCAGATTATACCTCAAAATCCAAAATGTGTTTTGAATTCAAGATAGGTGAAAGTAAACTGCAATTAATCTATTTGAAATCAGTTTTATATATGAACGAAATTATGAACGCATTTTTAAAATACAAAATATTAACAAAAATAAATTGAATAATTTAATTTTTGCAATAAGGTGTTTCCTTTAATTGTGAACTTATATCTAGGATCACATTTAAAAAGCTACACTAATATTCTCGAGAATTACTTTATTTACAATAGTGAAAAATCGAAATTAAATAGAAGTACCATCACGTTAAAAGAGGCTTAACATATATTTTTCGAGGGAAACCTGCTCCATATTTACATTATTTCAAGAGAGAATTAGAAATGCTTCAGTAAGCTCGTCTCGATCGGATATGAAGCATTTCATAAAGAAAAATAATTTTAAAAGCATTATTCTAAAAACCTTTTGCAGTTCTCGCAACTATTTTCTTAAGCTATCTCTTGGGATTCTCCAGAAAGGTATTTGGCAATGGTAACTTAGAGATCATGGTCGCGGCCATGTAGTGGGCTGTTGCAAGTTAAATCTGGTCTAGGTTCAAAGTTTTCTCACTGGCATAGTATGGAAGTTTGGAATGGGATGTGCCAGTTCAAGTGTCATACTTGTCAATTAACATTGATCCCAAACTATAAGATACGTCAATTTCTTCGAAGTGCGAAGTTAATAAACAATCACAATCACACCATGATATTATTTACTTTGAGAACCATGACTTGTGAATAAATCAGGTCTTTCGCAAATTAATATTGATATATATTCAAGTGCAGTGAAAAGGAAAGAGATCACATTGAACAGATAGTGAGATTGAACATATTTAAATGTACCGTGGAATTTTCAGAAAGTGCGAGCATTTTGTGCACACATCTTTTTAACCAGAAAATTAAACGATCATCGAACAACTGAGAACGGATTCAGTGAACTTATTCCAGACTCGGATTCCCTTTGCAGTTACTCAGATTAGAATTTCCTGATGATCTTTGTAGAAATACACGATAAAGTTTTCGCTCCGCATTCGTAGTACTGGTATTGATGTTTGAATAAATTTAGTCAAGAATAAAAATAGTTTAAGGTTTTGACTTTCTGGTTATTCATTTGACTGATTACTTTATGAATTATTTGGAACAAATCAGGATTTCGAAATTGGGGCGTCACAAAACGTAAAAGAACATAAACCTGTAGTTTTCAACTTCGAGATTTATTTGTATATAGGATTATCAGCACATGAATCAATACGAATGTTTTCAGGTGGGTGTTTCGTTTTAATGGTTTTTTTTCTACTCACATTGCATCTATGTCTGGGTCAAAATTTAAAAGCTTTTTTCTCACATTTTAAAGCACTCAATTGAACTGAAATTTCTGTACACGATTGTTTTGGATGACAATACGATAACTTAACTATAATTAAAAAAATTTAATTGATTTAAAGTAATTAATTAAAGAATTAAAATTTTCTCGTAATTTCAATAGTTTTTAACGCAAAACAGTTTAAGTGTAGCTTAGAGGTAGAGTGTTCGTTTTTCATGTGAAAGGCACTGGGTTTGATCCCCAGCTCTTCCAAAGGCGATTGTTCCTTTCTTAATGGGTTTCCTTCTGTTCACGTTGTAACTATGTTTGGGTCAAATATTTTTTTTCTCACATTTTAAAGCACTTAATTGAGCTAAAATTTTAGAAACACAATTGTTTGGGATGACAATTCGATAATTTTATAACAATTAGCAAAAAGTACATGATTAAAACTAATTATGTAAGAATTTAATTTTATCCATAATTCCTATTGTTTACAACGTATAACAGTTGAATATTGAATCCAGCAAATCGAACTATACCCTCGTAAAATTTAAAGGTATAAAAAAATTATGTTACGTAAAGTATGAAGTTTGAAAGAAAACTCATGTTTAAGAAATTTATTTTTTTACCGGTGTTATTATTAGTTACTGGAATTGTATTTTAAGATGGAAATTTATCATTATCATTTTCTTTTTTTTTATCTTTGTTTTCGTGGTATATTTCTCTTTTATAAATCGAATACACATTGAAGGTAAGAAATTGATACTTAAATGTAACAAATAATGAGTCGTGATAAATGTCAAGGAATACTTTAATAAAAAAAATATAAAAACAGCCATAAAGATCTTAGCAGTAATTTGATTCTAGGACATCTTTACATGCCCATCTATATTTTTAATAGTTTCTTTTGCTCTTTTAACACGTTTTAAAGAGCATGAAAAAATGAACTATATTCATTATGACAATGAAAGTATTCAGTTCCCTAACAAAAAATGGTTCACTGAGATTTATAAAATTCTTGAAATCTCTAAATCACAATTGATATAAATCAAACTGACCTATTCCCTATATTCTTTTATTTTAAATTAAAAAAAAAGCTTCATAAAACTTACACCATGTAGAGATATAAATTTAACACTAATGAGATTACGTCGTTTTTTAAGTGTATTTTTTCAAACAGGTTTTAGAAAAAAAGACTATGGAAACCGTATCTTAAATAATAACTCCGAAGAAATCGTCTGCACTCTATTCATACCATCTTCCTTCAGGTTTTATATTAAAGAAATGAAAACTTCACATTTCTTCCGAATCGGTATTAAAATACTAGGTTAAGGTGTTTATCTTCACTGTTGTTTGGGCAAAGTAATCAACTTTATGGAGTTTCCAGGTCATGTTTTTTCGCTATAGAGGCTTACTTTCCATCTTATTTTCTCGTCAGTAATAAACAATATTTTTTTTAGTCTCGTAGTTTCGTTAAAAAATTGTGGTAATCATTTTTCACCGCGTTGGGAGAACAGAATTTCGAAGTAAGTGCATTTCTTAGAAATTTCGAAGCATCTGAATTTAAATGTTCTTCATTTAAATGAAATTATTTGCATTTTACATACTTCTTTTTCTTTCTCACATTACTTTTTCATGTAAATTCTAGTAAGAGTTTGTTGCAGATATCACTGAGTTAGGGCTAAAAATGAAAATAACAAAATATAGATTGAATAATAAAGTACGAAAGTATCATCCCACATACCGTACACAGTCATAAGTACCTCATTATTTCGAGCATGCGGAATTCTTGTTTCGCGGGATGAAAAAGGTATGCAATGAATATTTTAATACAAATACACTAACGTAACATTTAACTATTTTCAGCTATGCATAGTTATTTTTAACGAATACAAACATGCAGTAACTAGGAACTGAGATCCAACCGTGAATATTCTGGAAAATTGGCGAGTCTGAATTTTATATATACCATATATTCCGGTGTATAACCCTAATTTTTAATATGAAAAAATGAGATCAAAATTTACGGGTGTGCATTATACACCTGATTTAAAAATGATATATTTAAAAATAAGGGGGAAATGAGCATAAAAAATTAGATATTTACATATATCTAAATACAGTTTATTTAAAAGAAATGACGTACATTTTGAAGTTAGCTTTTGTTATTGAATAACATGAAAAAGTCTTCATATTCTTCTTCTATCATATCTTCAGACAAATACTTGCTGCAGCAATATTTCCATGTTCTTTCTCAAATTGAATGGTTTTGCATTTGAAATCAGCGGAGTGTTTATTTTATTTCGTTGGACACATATTTACAATTGAAGGAAAATTGGATCAATTGTATTTCAACTGAAGTAAATTCTATTTATTAAAGCCTTCGATGTTCACTTCAAAATCACGGTTTCAAATGTCTGGAGAAAAATATTTTATTGAGAATTTCGCGAATTCATTCGGATCGAAAATGTGTTCTTACCCCAAATTGTGTCTCCGTTTTCTGGAAATTCTAGAACAATGTTTTTGTACACATTTGCATTGAATATTATCCACCCTGTATGAAGAAATATTTACGCCTTTAAGCATCTCCTCCCCCAGGTATTGTTCTCTTATCGCTTGCTAATTCATTATACCATTTTTCGAAAGCCTGAAAAAAATCCTTTGAATCCATAACTTAAAAAAAAATAATAAAATTGCATCGTATGGGCTCATTTCAATGTTCCTTCGTGAAGAAAAGGGTGTTCGTTATATGGCGAATAAAAAATTTAAAAATAATAAATAGTTTGCAATTACAGTTTCGCCAGAATATACGGTATTTGTTAATTTGCTTTGAAACATTTAAAATTTGGAGTTAACTTACGATCATGACGGAAATTCTACCACTTTGAGAAGGTATTTACTCACATGAAAGGAAATAAATCTCTCTTTTATATCGAGAATTATTAAGATTCGATTTGCAAAGACGATTTTGAAAATAATCACTGCGAATAAGAGTTACCCGAAGAAGAAAACATTGTAGTAATGTAATGCATATTTCCCTTTAACTAACCTGTGATGATGAATTGAGAACCTCGCCTTGTGAAAGAACAGTGACTTATATAAATTAGCACACTATTTTAGATATGTAGTAAATATTAAATGACAAGATAGAGAAATTGGAGAAAAGAGATACGTTAGATTTGGAGAATGTAGAAGAAATAGCGTGTTTACTGACACACAGTATTGACGCCGATAATCTAAGAGCGTATGTCTGGTTCGGATAATGTTAACTTGGAAGTGTACTGGATGCAGGAACCACGCTTACTATTTTAATTATTTAAAACATTCTACATTACAATTTTTGATCAAGGATGTTTAGTAAAATATCACGAATACTAAGTAAATTATCTGGAGTGTTTAATAAAGTATCATGAATTAAAAATTAATTTAATTGTTCTGTTATTTTTTATACAGTTCCTTTAGAAGTAAACCGATAATTGCGTAAAAAATAAAGTTTCCCCTCGGCTTGGAAAAATGTAAATTTATGCTTGCGTTGCATGAATTAACAGGTCTATTGAAAAGTCCCCGGCCTGACTCATAGATGGCGCTACTAGAATTAAATCCATATGTCTTTTAGTTAGCCCTAACCCTCAAAAGATGCGTGTATAAATTTGACAGCTCTCGGATCATTAGTTTGTGAATTATAGCATTTTGAGTGAAGCAACTTTTGTTATTGTGAAAAAAATGGATAAAAAGGAATTTCGCGTGTTGATAAAATATTGCTTTTTGAAGGGAAAAAATACAGTTGAAGTAAAAACTTGGCTTGATGCCGAGTTTCCGGACACTGCCCCAGGAAAATCAACCATCAAGGATTGGTATGCTTAGTTTAGACGTGGTGAAATGAGCACCGAAGACGGTGGACGCCCAAAAGAGGTTGTTACCGACGAAAACATTAAAAAAAATCCCCAAAATGGTTTTGAATGACCGTCAATTGAAATTGAATGAAATAGCAGACACTCTAAAGATATCATCTGAACGTGTACATCATATCATTCACGAATATTTGGGTATGAGAAAGCTCTGTGCAAAGTGGGTGCCGCGCGAGCTCACTTTTGACCCAAAACAACGACGAGTTGATGATTCGGAGCAGTGTTTGAAGATGATCAAGCGTAATAAACCCGAGTTTTTGCGTCGATATGTGACAATGGATGAAACATGGCTTCATCATTTCACTCCGAAGTCTAATCGACGGTCATCCGAGTGGACTGCACACGATGAACCCGCTCCAAAGCGTGGGAAAACGCAACATTCGGCTGGCAAGGTTATGGCGTCTGTATTTTGGGATACGCATGGAATAATTTTCATTGACTACCTTCGAAAAGGAAGGACCATCAACAGCGACTATTACATAGCGTTATTGGACCGTTTGAAGGACGAAATCGCCGAAAAACGGCCGCATTTGAAGAAAAAGAAAGTTCTGCTTCACCAAGACATTGCACCGTGTCACAAGTCATTGAAAACGATGGCAAAAATCCATGAATTGGGCTTCGAATTGCTTCCTCATCCATCGTATTCTCCGGATCTGGCCCCCCGCGACTATTTCCTGTTCTCAGATATCAAAAGAATGCTCGCTGGGAAGAAATGTTCGTCGAATGAAGAGGTGATCGCCGAAACAGAGGCCTATTTTGAAGCAAAGGACAAATCGTACTACAAAAATAGTATCGAAAAGTTGGAGGGTTGCTATAATCAGTGTATCTTCCTTGAAGGGAATTATGTTGAATAAAAAAAACTAATTTTGCCTAAAAAATGTGTTTTACTATTTTAGGCCGGGGACTTTTCAATTGTCCGGTTAGATTGCGTTACACTCATAAAATTGCGAACAACTGCAGATAAATATAAATGCATGCTTAAGTTGTTTGAATTAGTCATACAAAATTGTGACCGACTGCAAAATATATATTTCTCGTGTTAAAATAAGTTATACGAGTAGAAATGTGTTTCACAATTGCCTACTATACTACATAATAATAGATACCCAGCTTATGTATTAGATTTCAAAACTTATTGAAATATATTTTCTAAAATAAATAACTCAAAATTCTAGAATTTTTTTCTTATCTTTGACTTCAAGCTAAAAAAAATTGTATTACAAATTAATCTATGGTAGCATTACTTTTTTCAAACTGTTGTACAGTTGGTGCAATTTTGGTGTATGGTTAGTTGATATCTTTCTATTTGCTTCCATTCCTATATCATATGATTGGGACTGTTTATTGACATTGCATTGAAAGCA